TTTTCCGCAAGCTTTCGCAAATTAAACCTACCACTCTTTGCTAGTTGCATGCTAGTTGCTAGTTGTTGACGAGTTTGTTACGTCTTTGACAACGTTTTGAAATATTTTTCGCGAACTCCTTAATAATTTATCAAGTTTAAACACGGAGTTTGGGTTTCTGACCTTAATAAGCATATTTTTTTTAACCGATTTTATTTCTCAGTTTTCTCCTTAGTTTTAATTTCGATGGAGAAGATATATTAAGCTTACAAGACAGTGTTTGACCACATTTCCAAACACCTCGAAGTTCATCAAAAATACTCCGCTACGCGTCTTATTTTCTTCTCGTTGTTTGGAAATGTGGTAAAATACGTTTAACGTATTGCCTAACCTAACAAAAGGCGTCTTCCTATAACGTTTCTAAATCTCTTATCCAACCAGTAAGCAAACATTCAGATTACGTACTGCTTTGGAAATCTTTCTGTTGTTCTCCTTTTACTATATCCTTCTTCACGTACATGATTTCAACATCGTTTTGCCATTTTGGTTTGCTAATAAAACCACCACTGCGCCCTCAACTTTCAAACGGCACCTCCGCAAATTAAAGTCAGTTTTGGTTCGCATGATGGTCTGTATGTCTGTCTACATGCGTTTTTATGGTGCTTTTTTCGTTGGAGAAAACCAAAATTAGAACGCACGCAGACCGACCGACTGATCGACAGATAGACAGTCAGGCGGAGACAGTGGGACGGACAGACACACGGATAGTCAGAAAGACAGACCGGCAGACAAACAAAAATACAGACAGACAGACAGACAGACAGACAGACATAGTATTACAATTAGGGGAAGGCAAGGAGTGTTTATCAAGGTGAGACAGAAGGGATATCTAAAGTATTCTTTTAGAACCTGTTATCACTTCATTCACAGGATAAGAGGTGCATATCTAGTGAGGCCTTTCATCGAGAATGAAGTGTACGAGAAAACCAAACGAAAAGGAAATTTGGCAGAGGAGGCCGCCAGAGTAGCCAGTGGAATGAGCCGCACTTTAGCTTCGGCCATGGCCCAGAAAGCTCCTCCGCCTTCTAAGCAAGGCAAGGCAGATGCCAAAACAAAGGTATGATTACTCTTATACTGAAATATTGAATACTGGACTTATATACTGGACTGCTGATTTAAGAAAAAAATCACGGTTCTTGCGAAGTCATCTTCATAGATGACTTCC